GGCTCACTGCAGTCTCGACCTCCTGGGCTCCAGCCATTCTCCCACCTCAGCCTCCCAAGTAGCTGGGACTACAGCATGTGCCACCTCACCCAGCATTTTTTTTTTAACAGAGATGAATCTTGCTATGTTGCCCAGATTGGTCCCTGAACTCCCAACCTCAAGTGATCTTCCTGCCTCGGTCTCCCAAAGTGCTGGGATTACAGGCGTAAGCCACTGTGCCCGGCCCAATAAACACTTTTAACTGCTCTGCCTGCCCCTGGATCCTCACTCATCTAATCTGTCCATGACAAAGATGCCAGAGTTACCTTTTCATGACACAAATCTGATTATACTATCCCTTGCTTTAAATACTTAAGCACTATCTCATCCTCTTCTGAATAAAGATTAAATATTTTCTAAGAAACCTAAGATCCTTATAATCTAATATCAGCTTCATTTCCCAATGTTACCCAACTCATATTCTACACTCTAGTCACTGAGCTTCTCAAATGCCATGTTCTTTTGCAATCCTAGCTAAACTCTACATGTAAATTTCTGTGCTTGAGTGCCAATGCAAATTCGAACTCCTTTCTGATTCAGCTCAAGTCCCCTAATCCCCTAGACAAAGCCAATAATTTCAACAGTACTTTGTATGTAGTTTGACCTGAGCATCTGTGAGTATATGTTTTGTGCCCCAGATTATTCTATGAACATCTAGAGCAGAGACTGGTTCATCTCACTCATCCTTGTATCCCCTGTTTTTGCTGCAGCAGTGGAGGGGCTTGACACATCTATTATAAAAGAAATTATTAGATCATTGAAAATACTGCATCTTCTCATTAGATCAATAACAACCTCCTGGTGAACAAACAGGAATTATTCTATTAATACATACCAGGCGGCTAACATTCTAAGAATTTGCCTCACATTCATTCAGTAGTTCCTAAGTACTGACTATGTGCTATTCACAGAGTGGGCTGACAAATTAAAAAAAAAGAAAAAAGAATGAGACATACACGTGAAAACCACAAGTAAATTTTGTTCTACTAGCCATTTATATAGAGGGCCACAAAGTAAAGGGTGGTCAAAGTTGCCTGCCAGAATAAGAAAAGGATGAGATAAAAATTCACTGCCTTGAATACCAAGCCAAATATTAGACCAAAAAATCAAATAGATAAAAGTTGGCTGGACACGGTGGCTCACGCCTGTAATCCCAGCACTTTGGAAAGCCGAGGTGGGTGGAACACGAGGTCAGGAGATGGAGACCATCCTGGCCAACA